CCCATTCAATCACCATGTCAAACACCCCCTGTCTGAAATAATGTAAAATAGATAAAGAACATAGGGTGAGCGTCATTCACCTCAATGGAATCCAGTTTTGCAGCTAACAGTGTTTTACAATAGCATAAATTTTAGTGATTGGGATTTAAAGCAATATTTCAAAAGTAGAGTTATAAATCAAACAACGATACCATCATGTACTAATACCAATACCATAGTGTGCCACACTAGGGAGCCAAAACCTAATGACCTCTCAAGGTTTAGAGGACATCTCCAATGTCTCAATATCAAATAAAAACCCTTTTAGGGTGATCTCACCCCAAGGAATATATGTTCCATACACTTGTCAGTACTTGAACTCGAAAGCCACTGGGCCACCAGAACTGATGACCTGCCAATAGTCAAAAAGTCGATATCGCGAACACTTGTCATAAATCAAACTGTCAAAATTTTTAGAGGAAAATCAAATATAAATACCTAAGAACTATTTAAACATAGAAATATTTTTGGTTTGGCCAAAAATTGCATAAAGTGCAAAAATCAAATCTAGTAAAGGATAAAACAGTCATTTTTTATGCATATATCAAATAAGGTCCAAGCTGGGAAAACAATGTATGGATGGAAAACTATTCAAATAAGGCATTTTTAGGTCCAAACCACACCCCAAGACATGCCCTGTGCGCCCTTGCATGCCGTTGGGGTGGCCAGTGGTGTTCCCCCTTCAATCTTCACCTTCCTAGTTTACCCCCCTCTCATTCTCTTTTGCTTTTCTCCCTTATTTATTATCCAAACCAGGTGATTTAAAAACCATATTCTTCCTATCTTTCCTCTATTTTCAGACACGTGTTTGGTTCCTACAGATAATGTCTAGGTTTGAAAGAGATTGAGCTTAAAAGTCATTGTTCAAACATGGTTTCAACATGACTAGGCTTGCAACTGAACTTTTGACTTAGAAAATGACAAAAACATCCAAAACCAACCCCAAAAATGGATTCCTTAACTCAAAAAAATAGGATTAGGTCCTCCCCATAACTTGAAAATCAAGTTTTTAAAATCCATTTAAACCAAGTTCAAGAACTTAGTTAGGGTTTCATGTTTCTACCTGTATATGCCATTGCCACCCAAGAAACTTAAGATAAAGATTTTAGTGCGTAATATGAACCTTAACCTAGCTTGAATTCGTTGAAGAAGCCTTGCACACAAATATCTCTATTTTCTCTCTCTAAGCTTCTTCTTTCTTCTCTTCTCTCTTTCTTCCTGTTAATGTTTTACTCTCTAAGATCAGCTGAAACACCTCATGTGGCTGCCCCTTTTACATGCTCTTCATCCCCTTGATGGCACACAACATGCATGGACTGATTTTGGGTGAGCAAGACACCTCCTTGGGGTTTGTCTTATTCTTCTTGGTGGGAAAGTAAAGGTTTAACCCTAAATCTGACTTTCTACTTTCTTTAAACTTAATATTTTAATTATAAAAATAAAATTTCCCTAATTCCAAAGAAATTCCCTCACTTCTTTAATTTTAATCAATATAGTTTTATTAGACAATTTTACCACTAGCATGCATTTGAACTATTTTCATCCATTTGCTTCATTTTGATTTTCCAAACAATTACATGTCAACATTCAACCTTTTATGATCCACTTCCAAACATAGGTTTTACAAAATAAAAAACTTAACAAAGGAAAAAATGTCATGTCATATAATTTTTCTCCCCTTACTTCCTTATGTCATCCTATTCTTTCAATCATTTACAAGTTTTTTCTTGCCTTTTTGTCACGAAGTGCCAAAGTATAAACATGCAAAAAAAGATGCAAAGATAAAACACATATGAGATGATAAACAAGGAAAATCTAATCAAGTAAATCTAATCAAGTAAGCACAAGAATCATGGAAAGGAACATTAAGATATAATAGATAAATCTAGGTATATCATGATACATACAAACAATAGAAAAATGAGTACAAAGCAAGGATCACTCATTGTAAACCCCTATATATTTATAATAATGTGTAAGTAAGTATTAGGGGTGCATGTATATAAATAATGATTAAAAGATGGGTTATATATGCTATAATATAAGATAATAGTGTTTTGAATATGTGGAAACATGTTAAGGAGAAGCTACGAAGAGAATAACTAGATACTGCCCCAGTGTTTTAACTATAACTTTTTAGTTTGACATTAGATTGACCTCAAAATTTGGACAGTAGAAACTAGTTTCCAAGAGCTACAAAAGTGTATTTCACAACATTTCGGGAATCGACTTTTAAATAGGTCAAAACTATAGTAAAAGTTCTAACAAGAATTGGGAGTCATATTCAAATGCCAACTTTTGTTCAAATGGGGCTTAGCTACAAAATTTTGGTTTTTGACAAAAATTATGATAGAAATCGTGATACTGTGAGCAAGTAACGTTCGAATGCCAACATTCCGTTCGAACACAAGTGCGAATTTAACAGTGATCAGACTTGTTCAAATTTTGACCCTATAAATACTTAAGGATGCCCCCCTTTAGCCATATTTCATCAGTTTTCAATCCTAGGTACCTCTAGAGAGTGAGAAAAGGAGGAAATATAGGATTCAAAGGGATTCTTGCATTGGGATTGATTCAAACATGCTAGGGTTAATATCAAACATTGGATTGAGGTAAGAGATTCTACTTGAATTCTTTCATTAAGGCAAGGAACTATATTTATGTATGTTTTTTGTTCTTGATAATTATATACTAGATACTTGTTAATTCTTGATTTCCTTTCGAGTGAAAAGTTGTTTTGAACTAAATACATGTTTTATATTCAAGAAATTCTCGTCCTTAGTTTTTAAAACCCTAGTTCTTAAAAAGTTACATAATTTCTTTATGATACTTATTCATTCTTGATTCATAAACCCTAATTTTTGAATAAACCATGTTTTACATTCAAGAGTACGTTTTTCTCTCATCAAAATTTTTGATTAAGCCCTAGAATTTTGAATATCACAAAAGTAAAGGTTTTTTGATATGATCTCTTGCATATTTTTTTTTTTTTTATTATTGTACCTTGAGAATTATAAATTTGTAATACTTGAATTTTGATGGAAATTGTGAATGATTGAGTATATCGTTTTTGGATAAATTTATAGTTTTATCTCTTGTATGGTTTGGTTGTGACAAACTTGGATTTCCTTTGAAAGCTACTGTAGAGTGTTAGTCTATCCCAGGGGGGGTGAGATGGTTGTCTGACACTTGTAATGAGTTATTTCTTTGCGAGGTCAACCAATATTGTTCATGGCCGAGGCTAAGAGACGATATACCTTTCTTGACAATGGATTCATCAATGCTATGTAAGACAGTGCATGCCCTTTCTAAAGGGATTTGTGATATGGCCCTGCAAGGAATGATTGAAATTGCTTGTGTTTGTGGTGGGTGGATTAGGTAGGTTTGTTGTGTAGATTCCTGAGAAGCAACCAACATACATGAGACATTTGAGATGATGTTTACTAAATTATTAGTTATTTACTCTAATTTATAAATGTTTACTTATATTGTTGAATTATTGCATTCCATAAAGTTGAGATTGTTATAATTGACATTGTTTACGTCCAAATGTGGTATATGCTATTTTTCAAAAGAGACTTTCTAATTATATGTTTTAAAACCTTGTTTGGATTTGATAGGAATTTCCTATAGGATTTTGATCACCCCATACAACCCACACTTACAAATTTTGGAACAGAGGAGGATATTGAGTTTAATGCATAGGTGGACTTTGAGACCGAGGTTGATCAGGATGGAGATTTCGGAGCCGAAGCTTATAGTTGTTCTTTTAGTTTATGGATTTTTGAGATGTAAACTGGGTGGATTACTTATTTAGTGTTGGGATTTTTATTTATTAACGATGTATGGTGAATGTTGCTTATATTTTTGGATGATATTTTAGTTGCTCTCATGGTTAGATAGTTATAGTTAGGTAATACCCAGATTATGAAATTTGGGGCATTACACTCATACAATCAGTTACTCAATAGCTTACATGATCCTAGACTAAGTATCCTAGAAATTAGGTGCTCAATCACTCATCTTCTTCCTTTCATTCTCGCTCTTGTGCTTTTCTTTATTCTTCCTCTCATTCTCCTTTCTCTCCTTCTCATGGTCTGACCAAGCTCTCGTGCTACTACATCACCCATGTTTTGCTGAGTCTTCTCCGAAGTCTCAACCTTGGAGGCCAACTAGTAACAACACCTCCAAGCTACTCAAATCTAGCATGTGTACCTATTTGGCACTCAACCATTCTTGTAGCAATGTCCCTAAGCATAGCCATAGACTCAGCTATTGGGAAAAGATATAGTGTTACTATGGAAGTTCTCCAGTATGAGTCCATGGGAGTAGGTAGTTATGGAGTTAAAGGTAAACCTGAAGATGAAGATGAAGGTGGAGTTGGTGGATCCTAAGGAATATTTGTCATCTCTTCATCTTACTACTCCTCTCTAACTCTTGAAGGCCCTTCACCTTGTCAGGATACAAACATTATTCAAACATGTGACACCCTCTAGGAAATAGAAGTATGACCAATTGGACTGTTTGCCGACTGCATCTAATTTGATGGTCAAACTTAAAATCCATTCTTCTCACACTAGTGATCAAAGTCCCAAATAGAAGTTCGTAGCTCTTCTTATTGCTCACAAAATCTCTATGGATCACTCCAAATTTCAGTGTAGACAAATCAGTGATATCTCATGAGTCTATGATATGTAGCAATTTAGCTCAAGGAATTGAGAAATTGTTGATAGGGGACATCGGGTCTATGTCAGCACTCATTATCATATTAAGGAGTTTGTAGTCCTGAGTAAAGTCCTTATGATAGAATTTCAGGGTGGTGTAGCCTTTAGCATGAGGTACCCTTACATTCTCCATAACCACAGTGTGTAGCTTCAAGATCTAATCATCTCCCCTAGTCCTATAAGCATAACCCCCACACTAGGCAATCTCAATATCTTAACAAAGGTTATAGAAGAGACCTCGAAGATAATACCTTGAACATAGGTGAATAATCTCTCATGCTCAATGCTCACATAGTGAATATGAGTTTGGAACTCATAGACTTTCTCAATGTGGGTCTGTCTCATGTGTGTCACCATCTGTCGCCAACCATGATCATCAAGGATGTGAGGAATGAAGGTGTCCCGCATCTCATCAACCTCTAGATGTAGTTCTACAAGGACCATACAAAGTGCGAATAAGGTGTAGTAATTCTCTAGAATATTTCTAGTCTTGAATATATTACCCTTATCGGGTTGAGTAACTCGCGCTCTCTTCGTATCTCCAGGTAACATTTTTTCAAAAATAATATGATGGGTACAAGTACACTAAAAGTGAAAGGTCCTTGTTTAATTGGAAAAAAAGTGAAAATAAATGGTCCAAAGTGATGATCCCAATGAGGAAAAATGTGAGAGTTTTCATTTAAAGTGGAAGGCATGTAGAATTTAGGCCTAAAAAAAATCACTTAAAATAGCATCAAGGACATTCCTACCCAGCAACGCTTGAATATTGAAGGAGACTGCTTGAGCAATCAGGCTCTTCAGTTAGCTAAACTACCACTTGATGCAACCTACTCAGTTTTAACCCAATTTTCATCTTATTTGACACATTTTTTCTACCCTCAACTCCTCAATGCAAGTATGCATGTATGGTTTGGAAAATATGTCCATTTTGAACACATACATAGATGAAATGCAATCTAAAATGCACTGAATTTGAAAACATGAAAATCAACTTAGAACCATCAAAACTCAAATCCAATCTCATTTCATCATCTTTTAAGTCACTCAAAAATATATAAGAAATAAAAATATCACTAAATATATGACTCAAGAGTACTTATCAAATTAAAGTTTATAACGACATACACATATTTAAACATTGCATGCCCATTAATCCATTTATGTGTAGTGTGTGTAACTCTTCACCAATTTAATTGGGATCACTCTAGATTAAGAATCTAATAAAGCTCTCCTCATAGATTCCAATATGCATCGTATAAGTGAAAGCAAGACAGGTTAGTGACTATCCTATTTTGCTTTTTCTTTTTCTTTTCTTTTTGTGTACTCCTCCTATTTGTTACATCCCTTCTACTCATGTTGCTTAACCTCAATGACCATGGTTATGAATTTTGTACATTGCATCATGCTCTTAGACATTTATGACTTTGCTTGTACATTTAGATATTTATAATTTTGAGTCTTTAGATTTATCCTATTTTTCACTCCCAACAACCATATGCCATTAGTTTTAGCCATTTTGTTTGGTGCCTCACCTCTTGTAATTTGTCAATTTTGTATTAATTTTTTTCACACATTGGCCCTTTTGGACATTTTTTATGGGATATGAGGCTTTACCAATCTTTAGCCAAACATTCATCTATCACCAACACAAAGTCATATATGGTCCATAAAGTCAAAAGCTAGCAAAATTCTAAAGTCAAGGAGATGATAAGCTATAGTGCACAAAGTTGTATAAATCTATCAATGCTTTGCATCATCAAACTAAGTGCAAATGTAAGAGACTTAGATTCAATTCATTCTCGTGGAAACATAATTACTAAGTCCTCTATCCCTCCACTTCAAACATAGTAACACACCAAACTTTGAATTGAGATTAGATCTAAGAAAATCCTAGTTTAAGCATGATACTCATGTTACAAAATAAAAACTCAACAAAGAAAATCTTTTTGACTTTTTCTTGTTTTTGATATTTCATTTTTTTTTCTTAATATGAAAACAAATAATGAAAAATAATGTACAAATTATGATCCTAATATTTGAGATGCAATGCATGAATATGCACCTAGGATCACATTCTCACCACCCTTATTCCTTAGGTTTGTCGCTACCTTGGTAGTCCTGGGTAGTTCCAAAATAGCTGATGGGGGTGAGTCTCTTAAAATCCTCACTTCTTACCAATATTGCTTAACGTTTCAAGTTTCTAATTTTACCATGATCAATGTGTGGAGGACTAATTCTATTTTCTCTAGGTGTAATCAAGTATACATTTGGTCATTTCATTTTAAATCTTTTACTTAGTAAAAATTTGCTTAGTTTTTCATACCAAGCTCTAGGAGCTTATTTTCACCCATACAATGCTTTTGTTAGCTTATACAAATGATTAGGGTATTTATCATTTTCAAATCCGGAGAGTTATTCTACATAAACTTCTACCATTATACATCCAATTAAGAATCCTCTCTTAACATGCATTTGGTATAATTTGAAATTTTTATAACACGCATAGGCAAGCAACATTCTTGTTGCTTCTAATCTTGCTATTAGAGCAAATGTTTCATCATAATCAATTCCTTCTTGTTGATTATATCATTGAGCTACTAATTTAGCTTTATTCCTTGTTATATTTTCATGCTCATCTAATTTATTTTTAAATACCCACTTAGTTCCAATAATAATTAAATCACTTGGTCTTGGAACTAACTCCCATACGTTATTTCTTTCAAATTGATTTAATTCTTCTTGCATAAAAATTAACCAAGATTTATCATTTAGTGCTTCATTTAAATTCTTTGGCTCAATTTGAGATAAGAATACTAGATTATTGCAAATATTTCTAAGACTTGATCTAGTTTTGACAACATGTGTTGAATTTCCTATAATTTGTTCAATCAGATGATCATTCACTCTTTTATATTTTTTGGGAAGTTCTTGAAATGTAGTCTCATATTGTTTATCATTTTGAGAATCATCTTCCTTGAGTTTCTCATATTTAAAAGTCATATCAAACTCATCATCACTAATGTGCTTGATTATAAGACAATTTGATTCATCAAAAACAACGTGCATGGATTCGTCCACCACTAATGTTCTCTTATTAAATACCTATATGATTTACTATGAGTTGAATATCATAAAAATATTGCTTTATCTGATTTAGCATCAAATTTTCCTAAGTGGTCTTTGGTGTTTAGGACAAAGCATTTACATCCAAAAACCTTAATATATCCTATCTTTAGTTTCCTATTGTTCCACAACTCATAGCGGGTCTTTTTGATTATTGGTCTAATAAGAACCCTATTTAGGATATAACATGAACAATTTATGCCTTCACCCCAAAAATACTTAGGCAAGTTAAATTCATTAAGCATTGTTCTACTCATTTCAATTATTGTCTTATTCTTTCTTTCAACTACACCATTTTGTGGAGATGTTCTAATTGCCGAAAACTCATGTCCATATCCTTTTTCTAAACAAAATTCTTTAAATTTATTTTGATCAAACTCACTTCCATGGTCACTTCTAACTTGTTGTCATATAAAATTTTTCATTTTGAACTTGTTTACAATAATTTTTAAATATTTCAAATGCATCATGTTTATAAGTATATCTAGAGAAGCCATCTACAATAACAAAGGCATAGCTTTTTCCTCTAAGGCTTATTAAATTTGACGGTCCAAATAAGTTTATATGAATTAATTCCAATGGTCTAGAAGTTGATACTACATTTGATTTAAATGTATTCTTATATTGTTTTCCTAGTTGGCAAGGTTGACACACTAGATTGTTTTCAATTTTTATGTTAGGTAGGTCAACTACTAAATCTTTTCTAACTAGTTTAGATAAAGTATTCATACTACAATGTCCTAATCTTCTATGGCATAACCAATTTTACTACGTATAGACATTAACATTTTGATCAAGTAAGTCATCCAAAAATCAACTACCTATGCATTTTCAACTCTTTTAGCTACAAATAGAATACAATTATCAAGCACATTTTTAACATTGCACGTGTTAGCCTAAAATGTAACTCTATATCCCTTATCACATAATTGGTCAATACTAAGTAGACTATATTTCATATCATTTACCAAAATCACATTCTCAATTAAGAGAGATGACTTCTTACCCACATTGCCAATACCAACAATTTTACCCTTGGCATTATCTCTAAAAGTTACATATCTGCCATCTTCTTTTGTTAATTGAACAAATTTTGAGATACATCCCGTCATATGTCTCGAGCAACTACTATCAAGGAACCATTTGTTGGTTTTGTTGGTAGATTTGAAACAAACCTACACAAAAGATTTGTAAGTTTGATTTTGGTATCTACTTTCTGTTGGGTCCTTAATAATTAGTATATGCATTTTGATATGATTTTCTAATAAAACAATTATATGCATAATGTCCAATTTAGTGGCAATAATAATAAGAATTTGAAGTATTTGATTTGGATTCTCTAACAAAGAAGTTTTTGTACGCCTTTTATTTTTATCATGATTATATCCTAAACCAACTTTATCAAAAACACATCTTTGACTAGAAAATAATTTTTCTAGTCTTTCACTTCATTTTGTGAATTGCGAAGCAATGGAATTTAAATCAAATTTTTTCTTCCTCAATTCATTATTCTCATTTTTCAATTTATCAATAAGTGATATATCATGAGATTTATTCTTCAAGGAATTATTTTCAACTTTCAATTTTTTCATTTCCTTTTTCAATACATCATTTTCATTTGATAAACAAACAAACTTCTTTTTGAGATTCTTATACTTTTTAGTTAGAACAAGTAAATCATCTTGCAACTCACTCATTTGCATCACATAATTCAATATAAGATATATTTTTATTTTCATTGGATGGAGGGTATACCTTGTCATTGTCTTCTAATGCCATGAAGCATAGATTTGTGACTTGTTCATTTTCATCTTCATCGAAATCGCTATCATCACTATCCCTCCATGTAGCCTTCATGGCTACTTTCAGTTCTTTCTTGCTTGACCTTCTAAAAGATGGGCATTTAAATTTGAATTGCCCCAGTTTCTCGCATTTATAGCAAATGATCTCATTTTTCCTCGATCTTTAGACTTTCCAAATTGGTCCATTTTTCTTCATATAACTTTTGAACTTTCTAGTGATAAATACAATTTCTTCATTACCTTCTTCTTCTTCTCCTTGATCATCCTCATTTGTTGCCTTTGTTGATTTAAAGGCAATTGACTTATTCTCCTTCTTTTCTTGATCTTCATCTCTTTTAATTCCCATTTCATAGGTGAAAAGTGACTCAAGAATTTCTTCTAGAGGGAAAATCTTGAGATCCTTTACTTATTGAATGGCAGTCACTTTGGCATCCCATGATCTTGGTAAGCACCTAAGAATCTTTCTCACAAGCTCCTCATTGGAATAAGATT